ACCTGTGCCTACCAGGTTCAAGTGATTCTCCTGCCTCAGCCTCCGAGTAGCTGGGATTACAGGCATGCACAACCACACCTGGCTAATTTTTGTATTTTTAGTAGAGATGGGGTTTACCCATGTTGGTCAGGCTGGTCTTGAACTCCCGACCTCAGGTGATCTGCCCGCCTTGGCCTCCCAAACTGTTGGGATTATAGGCATGAGCCACTGCACCCGGCCATAAGTCCTTTTCAACCAGGGCTAGCTCCTCCTTCAGAAGCAGCCTATTAGAATAGCCAGGAGAGTTTGGGATGTTCTTCAATGTGTGTGACACTTTTCCTAAAGGAATTTGGGGAGTGGACAAGGTTCTTTCTTCCCTACAATGTGTATTTTGTGTGTGTGTGTGTGTGTGTGTGTGTGTGTGTGTGTGTGTGTTTGGAGATGGTGTCTTGCTATGTTGCCCAGGCTGGACTTGAACTCCTGGGCTCAAGCGATCTTCCCGCCTCAGCCCCTTCACCTCCCCAGTAGGTGGGACAACAGGTGTGCACCACTGTGCCTGGCTCCACCCTGTGATATTTTAAAAGAGGGTTGGGGAACTTTGTTGTGCACCTGGATGAGAGCTGCAGGAAGGAGTTGACTCAGATATGAAAGCTCAGAATGTAAATGACCTGCCAGGAAGCTGTTTTGACCTGAAACTGGGCTTAATATGAGTCTCTAGCAAGACTGAATTAATGGAAGACATTTTTTAAACTATAGGGAAGGGAGGGGGAGGGTGGAAAACCCGAGGGAAAGGCAGCTAATATAAGGGAAACTACTTCTCCTAAAAGACATTTCATATAAAACAAATCAAAAACAAAACCAAAAAAAAAAAAAAAAAAAGGAAAGAAAAAAAGCAAGGACTGCCAAGACTGCCTCTTATTCTTCCAAAAGCTCCAGCTCCTGAATTGTGGATTCTAACCAAGATGGGTGGAGCAAAGCTTGTACTACAAGGGAATGAAGCCAATGCAAGGGCCCAGAGGTAAGGGAAGCGTTGTCAGAGTCTGGTGGTAAGCTGAATTCTGTGCCTGTTTAAATGGGGTTGTCCTTGTGGTTGTGGCATTTCCCTTCTCAACTTCAACAGACAATCAGCAGCATTACTCAAAAGTGGAGACGCATGGAGGACAGCACAGTTACAAGTGGGCATGAGTTTTTATTCTCAGTGCACAGCAGTATTGGTTTCTGTTCATCAGCAAAAAGCTTTATTGGTTCCAAAAAATTATCCCTTTTAAAACTCCCCTTCTTCTTCTGGTCTCAGTGGAACAACACATTTGAATTTTAGATTTGACAGTTTATAGCATTTTTTTTTCCTAAGAACCATATAAATACATGCAAAACTTTGTACATAGAGCTTAAATCATATCAAAATGCAAATATAGATTGGGTGTGCTGTTAAGCTGAATTGCAAATTATGGCAACACACACTGGGGTATACATTGCTTTGATATCACCATTTGTTTGTTTATGTCATGCAGACCACAATAGTCAATCTTGTTTTGTTTTTCTTTTTTGTACAAAAATACCAGTGCTTGTTATACTAGTTACTAAAAGAAGAAGAAACTCAAAATTCCTATCTGCGTGCTAATTTGAAAAGAACAACATAGATAGATTTGTTGGCACATATATATGGCATATTCACATATGGCATATATACATATGGGGAGAAAACATGAACCAAAGGCCAATTCAGTTATGGGAGCTCATCTCCTTCCATCTCTCCTAATCAAGAGCAAAGGGAACAGCAGGCCTAACAGCAGGGTTGGGAAGGCAAAAGGACTGGCACTGAACTAAGTGAAAGGGCATCTGGTCTATTCAGAGGAAGAGGTTGGAATGGCTTAACAATAGCAGGCATTTATAAGTGCCCACCCTCACCAATGCAGTGGGGGTGGTCCCTAGATAAGAAAGGTGAGGAAGTCTCTGCATATTGTGATGGTACCACAGGCTGCTTCAATTGTAAGGCAATGAAGCAGGAAAGAAAGGAAGGGATGCATTTAGAGGCTTTTCCACACAAGCGAGTGTGCCATGTCCCTCTGGGTTTTCAGCAGTGAGGTAACCATTCAGATTTAACCGTGCCAATTCTCCTCTCTGAAGCTCAAGGGGAAGAAGAAACTCAAACCCTGAAGAACCCACAAGTGTCCAGTGGGATTTCTAGGTGATCTCTCTCTTAACCCCTTTAGGGATAGGAGAGTCATTCCAGAGGACAGATGATACTATGGGAGGGACCTAGCTTTAAGACTGTCACTCACAGCTAGAACCAGCCATTGTTTTATCATTTAGAATTCTGTCCCCATTTAATATATTGCACAAAATCTTTCTAGGGGAGAAAAGCCATCATAAATAAGATCGTTGCACAAAAACTCACTAATGGAAAACCCCAGGGGGAACCGGAAATGAAAACTATGAAAAATGCAAACCCCAAATCAGAGTATCCTTACAGACCAGGACAGATTCGTGTCTTTGGTACCACTCTGACAGCTATTCTTCAAGAAACACAAATCCAACGGAGGCCCCTAATCCTCATGACAAGTCAGGAAAGAGTCTGTCTATCCGTCTGCGTGGGGAGGGGGACGCGGTGGGGAGGATTCCTTTCCTAACAGCTGTGTCCCTTGCTGGGTGTTTTCCTGACTATCCACGGTTTACTACCCATTTTTCTAGGTTTATTAAGAGAGGAAGCTAGGATGATACGTTCTCCTTCTCCCCATCAGACCCTTTTCAAATCCGAAGCACCATTTTGGGGAAAAGGGTTATTAACTTATGCCGTATTTACCCACTGCCAGTTGGATCAGTGAAACTGAATAGAAAAAACTTATATAAAAAACATATGCACATAGACACTTAAACTTACTTAATTTCATTATCAACAAAATTTATATTAAAAAAGTCTAGAACCCAACAATTTTTTTCCCTAAGTATAAAGATGGCTGTTTGCAGAAAGAAAGTACGGTGTATTGGTTTTAAAACCAATTACAAATATACTAAGTCACCTGTCATGCCAAACAGCTGGTTATGTGCTCCCTTCCACAGAGCTACATGACGGCACTTTATTTTAAATCCTTTAAACAAAATACATATGGCTGACTCAAAAATATCAGTTTCTGATCTAAAGAAAACTATATATTTTTGCATATATTTCTATATTTTCTCTCCTATTATGGAAACTAGAACACAAGAAAAAAACCATTGACTTTTAAAAAGTAGACACAAGCCCTCAAGAGTAACCTGTCAGGCACCATGAGAGTCTTTTGCAAACAGGAATGGTAAAATAGCCTTCAAACCTCGTTATTGGCTTGCTATTTAAAATGATCTGAGGTAATACAAGACTTGATAGAATTAAATCTTCTAAAGTAGTTGATGAATATATATGTGAACACCTAACACCTTGGGTGAGCTGTTTTTTTCCCTATGAGTATTTAAGACACAAAGAAGAATTATTGAAAGCATGTACGTTTTACAAAACCAGAATCAAATTTGTTTTCCTATTTCCTACGATGATGGATTATGTAGTCATGGGGATATGCAGGGGGTATTGTTTCTCTATGTTTCCGACTGTGGACAGCTCAGGTGAAAGGGGTGAGGGAGGACAGATCCGGAAGAAAAGGCTAGGTGGATCAGGTCATCTTCCTCTCGCATGGGAATTTGGCTGTTCATATGTCCCCTCTTCTTGACTCTCATCACTCTAGAAAGAGGCGGGTGGGCTTAATTTATCTAACGAGAGGTGAGAGTCAGGAACATGAACTGGCCCCTGCACAGAAGTCAACACCAGCAGGGATACAAATGGAGCTCCTGCAAATGTGGCTCCACCTTGTCCCAGTAAGGAACACTTAAAAAATCTCCTAGCAAAGTCCTCAACTCCTGAGAGGCAGAGGGGAAGGGGATGCTTTGGGCAGTATTCAGGGAAAAAAAGGCACAGGGCTTTACTGGGCAGCAGCTGCAGCATGTGGCTGAAGAGGGGCTGGAGGAAGGGGGAGTGTGCTGGGGGGGTCTTTTGCTCCTTTAAGTCGGCAAAATGTCACAGGGGCCTCCCACTTTGGATATATATTTTCAAAATCAGAATATTTGAGAAAGGCTGGGACCTTCTCAGATACTGGGAAAGTTGTGACACGTGCAAAAACTAGAATTAGAAACTGGAGAGAATGTCGAAGCTGGTCCCCAGGCACCACAGCTCAAGGTTTCCGGCCCCTGCAGGAAGGTTTTCTCAGATCATACTAGAATGGCTCTTTGGCCTCTCCCAAAGCTTCTGAACACTCATTCCCCACCTGTCAGGTCCTGCCCTGGAGAGCCTTGGCAGATGGCTTTGAAAGCAGTGGTCACCCCAAAGAGGAGCCCACAAAAGTCTGCTTTGATGGTCTGTCTTGTCCTCGATTTGGCAGCGGCTGGTCCTCAATATCCAAGCCCAGTAAGGAGGCGGGGTTGAATATATACCACACACATGCAACCTCCATGGGCAAGGCTGATCTCCCTGGCACTTAAGAACCACATATACCTGACAAGGTGGCAGTTTAAAAGCAGAAGGTAACCTGGCAACAACTGAGAAATATTCTTACCAGCACTTAATTGCTTCAAAGGGACCCTTTTAACAAAGAAACTGGTTGGATTCTAGAACTAAATCAAGGGTTCTTTTGGGCCAAAAGGGAGAAGGATCAAAGTTTATGCAATTCACCCATATCCTTTCCATTTTCTTAATCATCATTTAAAAAAAAAAAAAAAAGGAAAGGAAGGGAAGACAAAGACAAAAAAGAACCTTGGAGAGGTTTGACTGGAAGGGCAGAAAGAGTTAGAGGCCTGCAGGCCTTTAGGTGTAAGTTTTCAAAGTGGGAGAATTGAAAAACAATCATACTACTGGCGGATGTTACACATTCCATCTCTACCTCAACATATTTCACTTGGGGATATTTGTCTCCCTCTGAACCCTCAACTTAGCTTATAAATGGCACAGACTTATAGGACAAAATCCAGAATTCAGGAGATGAACATCAGGGGAGAATGTGGGGTGGGGTGATGCCAAGAGGATTATCATCATTTCTTTAAAAATGACAAGTGACTATCAAGGAGTAAATTCTACCATGACCTGCCTGGGATTTGACTGGGCCCCGCTGCAAACCCCAAGTCAAACTTAAGTTGAAATCCTTGTAAGTCTGTGCTCTTGCCTCTTCGTGGTCAGGTGGGGGTTCACACACACTGCTGTTTACACAGCAGTTGACATGACGATGAAAAGTCCCATCATCACCTCATAGATGCGACAGGCGAAAATGGAAATAGGGAAAACAGGGATGAGAGTCAGAGAAAGAAAATTCAAACCGATGTCTCTAGGCTCTGTAGAGAGCTGTCCGACTGTGGGAGCTGCGCTTGGTTGCAGTCCACCGCATTGTTGTTTGTATTGGCGTATGGAGTGACCTCACCATCCAACAGGAGCACCCCAGTCCCAAACTTAGAAGCCTTGTCAGGATTTTCCTCCTCTTCCTCATCCAGGAGTGGTGTTCGCGGCAACTCCTCATCTATGGCGAATTCAGGGTGGGTCATGAAGTTGTGGATGGAGTTTTGGTTGTAGGGTTTCTGAATAGTTTCGTGGAGGGAACTATGGAACGCTTTGACCACTTTGATCTATACCAGGGGAAGGAAAAGGAGGATGAGAAAATAGGGAGGTGAGAATTGGCTGGCAGAACAAGGAGATGGTGGTTTTAGGAGAGAAACAAAACCCAAACTATAGAACATGACTGCTCAGCAACCAAAACCAAACACACATCAGAGGAGATCATGGGGCACTAGAAACATCACACGGCTCAACTTTCAAGCAGTGGGGTGGGCTGGGGTGAGTGATGGCAAACAACTAGAACATTTTGAAAGCTGCATTTAAAGAAGTAGAAAACCCAAAGCAACGTTAGCATTCCCAAACAATCTACTTTTAAAATGAAACAGAAAACAAGAAGTTTCATTAGTTCTTTTAGATGGAGGACAAGGGCATGGGAACTAGATGCAAATTGATAGCCAAACTTAAAAAGATGATTCAGACATGTGGATTTCTGTGCTGAGGCCAAACATTTTGTGAATGGGGAATGAAAAAATTATGCATTGAGGTTTAGTTATCTGTTTAAGGACCTCAAAGAGCCAGCATACACCAATCTGCACATAATACACGTTGGGTGACGAGTGACCACGAATACTGTGCAGCCAGGCAGACAAACCAATCTTCATTTGTGTCAGCAACATGCAGGAACTTAAAACTCTCCAGTAATAATTTGCCCTTTCAGCCAGGAAACATGCATATTTTTACATCCCACGACCACCACTGTGTCCCCTCTCAGCAAATAACACAGAACTTCACTCCTTCAGCCCCTTCCCTAGAAGAAGTGGATAAAATACAGGTGTCAAAAGATGCTTTCCTCCTGCCTATTGAGAAAAGACCTGGCTCTCATGATTCAAATGCACGATCATGTCTCTGATACACAGCAACGGTGCCCAATCATGCTGCTTTCTCCAGCTGTTTCCAAATTGTGAAGAGGAGCATAGTCTTATGTGGAGAAGGGACCAGTGAGAGAAACCTAACTCAGGAGGTGGTGCTACAAACAAGTGGCCTTTCTGATGGGGTGGATGAAGAGGATGATGGAAAGGAAACCATGTGCAGTTTGTGCGGTTTTACTGGGCAAAAGGAGATGCATTGCCCAGTGTCATAGTCTCTGTCCTACTGTGCAAAAAGGAAGGGATTTGGTCAGTTCAGAGTCATGAAGAAAAAACTGACAATAATTGATTCCTGTGAACAGCTTTTGCTTGTCCACAGGCACCAGCAATTTTGGCAGCTCTGCTTTTCTGAACTGTAGGTCTCTCTGAGGCGTGGCTTAGAATCAGTGTTGGTAGAATTGGGGTAGAGGGAGAGGGTTGGAGCTCCAAGAAGTTAGAGAGAGGGGCCAGGGGAAAGGTAAATGGTTATAGGACAGTTTTAGTTGTTGGAAGGTGGCTGATCCTAGTCTTGTCCCAAAAATCTTCACTCAGAAAAGAAATGGGAGTAATGTGGGGGAAATTGTTGAGGTTGGGGGGGTAGGAGTGATGAAGGTGGGAGTAAGGTACCTCTTTCATTCCTCTGCTGTTTAAGCAAAAAGTATATCCCAGGAGAATAGGCAAGAATTTGGAGACAGCAGAGGATACAAAGAGTCAGCCAAATAAACTGTTTGGATCACCTGTTTCACTGCTTCCTACCACCATACAGAACTTTCATAAATACCACTCAAAGGCGGCTCACTATCAATATTGTTGGTCTATTTTCTCTGGAGGAGAATGTGTCTCTGCTGGCTAAGGCTTTCTTTATCTTGCCCCACTCTACTACAGCCCACCCGGGACTGAGGGTGCTTAAAGCTCAGAAGGCAAAGGACTCCTTGCCACTCAATAGCATCAGCTCAGTACCTCAGCTAAGAAGAATCAGGGAGCATAGGCACACACTCACCATGCTGAACAGAAAGTGAGGACCACATTTTTATTATCTGATTCCTATTTGACCATCTGATGGGGGAATTTTACCTGTCATGTTGCCTTTGCTCCAGATCTAGGTGAGATCAGATGGAATGGGGGCTCCATCTGGTCTTCAGGAAGTCTCAAGTTTTCATTGATCTACATAAAATCTCAGAGCAAGGCAATTTGGATTAAGTGAGTCCAAACCCAATGCCTTGTCCTCTGGCCCTGGCATAGATACACTGGCCAAGAGATGGGTCCAAAGCCATCCCACCCCATCAAAGCCGTCACTGTCAGGAGTGATGACATAGCTCACATTTTCCATATGCTTTCAAGATCTCAAAATTTCTACCAGCTATCACAGGAGGGCAGGTGCCTTTATCCACCAGTACATTATCTTCAATATCAGTGAGTTTCAACTTCCTGCTTCCATTCAATTGAATACTTTATTGAAAAAATTACATGTGAAATCCACTATAGAAAATAAATTTGCAACAATTGGGGTTGGAGTGAGGGTCTGGAGCCCTGTTTGTTGGCTTTTCCTCTCACCTGTTGCGGTGACCAATAATACTGTTACAGGTAAACAATGAGGGAGATAAAAGTGAATTGGGGATGGTTAGATGGAAAAAATACGGGAAACATCTTTTGGGGAGCAAGAAACAGTCATCCAGCTAGACTGCAGGACTTCTGGAATCTAAAGGGAAACCAGCCACCTGTAAGGAAGCTCATGTGAAGAGGGGTCAGAGAGCTAGGGGTGACCAGCTGGCTTGCTGGGTGGAGAGAAGGGGGAGGGAGGAGAGGGTATGGGGCTGTGCCAGGATGCCCCAACTCCGGCACTGGCCTCAGAGAACACATGCTGATGAACAACCACACACCATATCACCACCAATCCACCCAGGGCTGGCATCTCCCTTTCCTGGAGCATGATGCCTGGTGCATGAGCAGTGTATGGGGACAAGACAGGGCTAGTGAAGTAGGTGCAGGGAAAGCTTTGAGCACTCTCCACACAGCCAGTCAACCCTTCCCTCCCTGGGCATTATTTCTCAAAACCTTGGGGAAATGTCTCTTCTAGGGCCCTGGCCTACAGGTGGAAGTGGCTGGTTGAAGGGCAACTCTTTTCATGACTCAGGAGACTGGGTATGAGTGCTGAGGGCTACTCTCTGCAGCTCAACGAGTGGGCGGGTGAAGACTCCATTTCCTCAGCCAGAATATCGCGTAGTTTTCTGCTCCTGTTTTTTTTTGAGATGGAGTTTTGCTCTTGTTGCCCAAGCCGGAGTGCAATGGCGTGATCTCAGCTCACTGCAACCTCTGCCTCCCGAGTTCAAGCTATTCTCCTGCCTCAGCCTCCAGAGTAGCTGGGATTACAGGCGCCTGCCACCACGCCCAGCTATATTTTTTGTATTTTTAGTAGAAACGGGGTTTCACCATGTCATGTTGGCCAGGCTGGTCTCGAACTCCTGACCTCAAGTGATCCACCCGCCTCGGCCTCCCAAAGTGCTGGAATTACAGGCGTGAGCCACCACACCGGGCAGTTTTCTGCTCTTATCAGAAACCAGGAGAAAAGGATTAGGACCTCCCTATGCAGGGAAATCTTAGAGATCTATCTAAAGAAGGTTGGACAAACAGTTGGTTTCATTTGGAGATCTGGAATGGGAAAGAGGGTTTTAAAATGTATGGCTATAACTTTTAGGAGCTCCAACTAAAAAAGGACAGCTGGAGAAAGAGCAGGTGTGGCCCGTCTCTCCTCTGATCTTCTGGTCTTTGAGGGTTTGGAGCACACCCTCTACCAGCTCCTCTACAAGATCCCAGTAGGCTCAGTCTTCTGCTTAGTCTCCTTCCACCATCAAACCATCAGGATATCTGACACTAACTCTTCCTACCAGAAAGGGATGATTAAAACAGAACAGAAGCTAGTTAGAAGGGGATGGCAGAACTAGAAGGAAAAAAGGAATTAAGAGAGGAATGTGAAAGAACGGTTGCCAGAGGTTCCCGGATATTTGCAGGGCAAGACTTTGTTAGTTCTTTCTTGCCTGTTTTTTTGACCTAAAGAAATTGTATGTATCTCTATCAAGTCCCACCCCCATGAGAACACTTTGGCTAAAGAGACAAAACAAATCTAAGTCTGGTCAACCCGCATAGTCCGTGATCATGTGAACCACAGACAAGGCGACTGTTCTTTCTTCAGCCCCTTCCCAGAGGTGGGAGTGGGTGAGGCTGGGAATGGGGGAGGAAGGAACAGACTGACCACTCAGATATTTGAAACCCACATTATATTTAATACAGATAAACTCCTTCCCACATTATCAGCAAAGAGTTGGCTACCTTCTCTCTCCTCTCTGAGTCCCATTTGGGGAAGGGAAAATGACCAAGAATAGGAGGGCATAAGCATTAGCAAGAATCCAAGAATCTACCAGTGGGAACACCAGCTCTTAGGTTGTGAGTTGATAACATTCCAATGGAAAGTCGGGCTGAGAAAGGGGTTCCTGAAACTTTATGCGCAAAAAAAGTGCCGGCTATTGGTGAAACAATCAAACTAGAGAAAAGGAGAAGCAAAATAAAAGGGACTCCTCTTCAGAAACTCCTAAAAGTTTAGTAAATGAAGAAAAAACGTTATTTTGACTATTCTATATATTTCTCCCACCTTGATGTGAATTAATTGATTTTTTTTTCTTGAGACAGAGTCTTGCTCTGTCACCCAGGCTGGAGTGCAATGGTATGATCTTGGCTCACTGCAACCTCCGCCTCCCAGGTTCAAGTGATTCTCCCGCCTCAGCCTCCCAAGTAGCTGGGATTACAGGCACACATCATATTGCCTGGCTAATTTTTGCATTTTTGTAGAGACAGGGTTTCGCCATGTTGGCCAGGTTGGTCTTGAACTCCTGACCTCAGGCGATCTGCCCACCTTGGCCTCCCAAAGTGCTGGGATTACAGGCAGGAGCCACCGCACCCAGCCAAGATTAACTGATTTTTAAACCGGAGTCCCTGAAAAGTAAAAAAATGGGGATATTCAACCATATACGTTTTGAACTGACCTACCTTCTTTTCTTCACCTATAGCTACAATTTTTTTTTTTTTTTTTTGAGACAGAGTCTTGCTCTGTTGCCCAGGTTGGAGTGCAGTGGCACAATCTCGGCTCACTGCAACCTCTGCATCCTGAGTTCAAGTTGATTCTCCTGTCTCAGCCTCCTGAGTAGTTGGGACTACAGGCACCTGCCACCACGCCTGGCTCATTTTTTGTATTTTTAGTAGAGATGGGGTTTCACCGTGTTAACCAGGATGGTCTTGATTTCCTGACCTCATGATCCGCTTTGGCCTCCCAAAGTGCTGGGATTACAGGCGTGAGCTACCGTGCCCAGCCAGCTACAACTTTTATGCTAAAATTGCCAGTTGGCAATACAGTGGTAGCCAAATGGACTATTATTATTGACCAAGTTTAATATTGGCTCAATTATGACAGGTCCACTAGTCAAAACACACCCACGGGCACATTAGTTCCCTTCCTTTCCTCAAAAGATCCCAAACCTTGACCCCATGTAAAGAAAGTTCCTGGGTTTTCATTTGGCCTAATCTCACATCTAAGCTTAGGAGGTAGAGTTCAGACTCAAAGGAGCAGGAGGAGAGGAGAGAAACAACAACATATCCCAGCAAAGCAACAAACAAACAGACAAACCAAAAAGGCAACACAAAACAAAACTCAAGAAAAGGAAGAAACGAGCAATGCAGGGGAACAATCAGGAAACAGAATTGTCTTTAAAACAGTTAAGGTTTTATAGCTTTTCTACATTACAAAAATAAAATACAAGGGCACACAGGCTGGTTTTAGAGTGGGATTTTTGTCTTTTCTTCCCTTAAATCAAAATATCAAAGGGAAAAACCGAAAGAAAAGATAACCATGGCTGGTTACAGTGGATGCCACGTGCTGTCTTGTGGTCATTTTAGCAAATCATGCATCATAATAGACTATCACTCACTGCCCATAGGAGGAGATGAAACAGCAGGAACAGAAGTGGTGGGGGAAGATTTGACTGGTGCAACTGCTACATAGGATGAACTAGGAACAAGTTTTACATCAAGGTGTTGACCCATGTTCTGTCGCCTTAGGACTCCCTTAAAAGAGGCTCCCGTCTGGAATGTGTTAATTACGTCGATCTGCAAAGAATCAGAGAGTGAGACAGCTTTGCTCCACAGTCAGAGAGGTGAAGAAATAGGAAGGGAGGGTCATGGAAGGTTTGGGAAGTGGGGATGGAAGTAGATGGGAAAAGGGGACAGGAGACAGCTAGAGAGAGCTTCCCTCCCACACAAAGCAATGGTGAGGAGAAGGGGAAAAACGTTAATTGCATATCATACTTCATTTAGGGAACAATTTGCCAGGGAGTCCCAAACGCCCAGCCAGAATCTAGTTTTCTCTTCCCTTTGAATCCATGGTGGGCATTTGAGGTGTAGAGGGGGCTAAGAGTATTTAAAATTTGAAGGGACTTTTCCCCACTCCATCACTCCTAACAGCTAGACAGATTGTTCATTGTTTTTACCTGTACTCTTTTTTTTTTTTTTTTTGAGATGGAGTCTCACTCTGTCGCCCAGGCTGGAGTGCAGTGGCGTGATCTCGGCTCACTGCAACCTCCACCTGCAGGCCCATTTTAGCCTGTACTCTTAAAAATAAGGTAAACAATTCTGAAGGCAAATTATGTATTACTGAATTTCAAGGCTCAGGAACCTCTTAATCAATTCAATCGACTACCTATTTTTGCAGATTTTCCAGGAAAATAACTCATGTGTTTAAAGAAAAAACAGGAGCCGTGTAGTAGCCAATATACAAGTGGCCATGATGGAAAGGCCCCTGGGCCATGAGTTGCTGGGGGCTCATCCTCCTCTGGGTATCTTGTCTGAGTTATCCCTTCCCTGTGCTGAAGTAGGCAGGGTCCCTGAGAATGGAGCTCAAGAACCCAGTGGCCAAGCCCACTAGAGAGAATGCTACTAAGTGCATTAATGCATTAGAGATTCTGAAATGTCTGGCAGAAATGCTGACAGTAACTCGGCAATTAGACTGAGGGAGGGGGAGGAATAGGTTTTGGTTAGCGGTTGTTGAAATAGCTACAGTTCGAGACTTACACAAGTAGTCTCTGGTTTTCAGTGCGCTGTTCCTCAGAGACAGAGGCAATTACATTTTCTTGCTTTCTTTTTTTTTTTCAGACAGAGTCTTGCTCTGTCACCCAGGCTGGAGTGCAATGGCACGATCTTGGCTCACTGCAACCTCCGCCTGCTGGGTTCAAGCCATTCTCCCGCCTCAGCCTCCTGAGTAGCTGGGACTACAGGTGCGCACCACCACGCCCAGCTAATTTTTTTATTTTTAGTAGAGATGGAGTTTCACCATGCCGGCCAGGCTGGTCTTGAACTCCTGACCTTGTGATCCACCCTCCTCGGCCTCCCAAAGTGCTGGAATTACAGGTGTGAGCCACCGCGCCCGGCCATGCCATTCATTTTCTGACAATGGTCCTGATCTAGGGCCTCAATCAACTCTACCATCCTTATCCCTGACCCCTAAGTAACAGGGATGAAATCAAAAGGAATTTCCTTTAGCCTTCATGAAACTGGTAGAATAATCTTAGAAATATCTATCTGCTTAATGCCAAGGGTTAATCTACCAGGAATGTAGGAAAGGTGCTGATTCCATTAACTGGACTTCATTTTCCCAGGAGGGAAGATGAGAAAGCAGGCAGAATATGAGTGAGATAGTTCTTTTATAAAGCTTCCTGAGAAGCCATGAGCTGTTTAGGGCTAGTTTCTGGATCCAGATTACAGTTTGAGCTGAAACACCACTGCTTCCTCACATTATTCAGTTTTAGTTCCCTGGGACTGAGAAGCTTGAACCTGCAGGAGGAGAGGGTTTACACTTGGGGTTGGGGGAGTGGGTGGCGGTTCCAGCTCCATAGAAGAAGGGACTGTAGAGATACCTTCTTCGGTGCTTGTTGGAGTTACAAGGTCCCAACCCTCACAATTCTAGTCTCTAAGTTTCCTAACACCTCCCATACCAAAGCACTGTGATGAGAATGACAACAAAGATCAACGTGGAGATAACAGGGGGTTTTGTTAGAACCCAGCTGAGGTTGAAGGGTTGATGTTGGGAGCGGACCTCAGGGATCCAGGTACACGTTAGCATCATTAGCCTCATCAACTTCCGGAGTCAGGTGCATCCTGGGATGGTGTGAATTTGCTCACGGTGAACATGCCTCACTTTAGGCTTTAATGCCATTGTGGCCTAACTGCCTCACGCTCCAACAATGGGGAAAGGTAGCATACCTAAAGCTATGTGGGCAGTGAAACCAAAAAGACCTTATAGAGAGGTGCATAGTCAAGGAAATAGAAATTGGTAGTGGAGGGAAGGAAGACCCATAAATCTCAGCCTCCCAGGACAGAAGACTGGAAAGGAGCAAGGAGGCACTGGACTGAGGGAATCGTGGCTAGGAGAAAAGAAATCATGTAGTAGAAGAAGTGCTTGATCCTGGAGAAAAGAAAAGCAAAGACAGGTTATTTCAGAAAGAGCAGACCCACAGGAAAGCACTGGGGGCTTTAGAGATGGGAGTCAAAGGTGCCAGGTTCTATGGGTACTTGGACTCAGCAGCCTGGACGGTGGGGTGGGGTAGGGAGTGGGCATGGGGATTCTGGATGCCACGAGGCACTTTGTGCAGGTCCCGCTGGAATTTTTCTTTCTGGGAGGAGGAACTCGAGAGAGGGAAAAGGAACCCTAGTGTTTCCCTACCTAGCCCTTTTCCACTTTTCTTTTTTAAAAATTTAGCTCTTTATATAATGTCCCTTGTAAAAATGAAAGAATAAAAACAAACTAAAAAAGAGAGGCAGGGTAATTTTTTTTTTTTTTTTTTTTAAAGGAAAGGAAAGAGAGGAAAAGGAAATAAAATAAGACAATTTATTGCTTCTCCTCAGCATCCTCCTTGGTCTCCTCCTCACTGAGAGAGCTTCTAGCTTTTCCGCCACTTTTCTGGCATGGCTGTTTTTGCCTGATCCTGGCCAAGTCGCCTCCTGGAGTCTGTCTTCTTGAAACTCAATGACCAAAGGAAGCCAAGTGGATGCATTCAAGCACCGCCTAGACCATGGTCAGGCTGCTCAGTGACATCTGGTCATTTGCCACCACAGCTGCAGTCCAGCCTCACGGCAGAGGTGACCAAGCCCTCTGAGAGACAAACCGAGGACCACTGTGTAAAGCACCTTCTGGTGAGCTCCAGGCAGTGCCCGGACTCCAATGCCTGCCCAATTGGATGTGAGGCCAGCAACACGGAGAAGTGCTCAGGGCTCCCCAGGAAGCACCTGTGTCCCCAGGGAGCTGCATCGCCCTGGATAGGTGAGGCAGCCACAGCACCCTGGGATGTTTATCTGGCAGACAGAAAAAGCACCCGCCTGGAAGTATAGTCAGGTGCAGAGTGAGTCTGCAATCCATTTTTCTTTTCTTTTTTTTTTTTTTTGAGACAGAGTCTTGCCTTGTTGCCCAGGCTGGTGTGTAATGGCACAATCTTGGCTCACCGCAACCTCAGCCTCCTGGGTTCAAGTGATTCTCCTGCCTCAGCCTCCCGAATAGTTGGGATTACAGGCGCCCACCACCACGCCCAGTTGATTTTTGTATTTTTAGTAGAGCCGAGGTTTCACTATGTTGGCCAGGCTGGTCTCGAACTCCTGACCTCATGATCTGCCTGCCTCAGCCTCCCAAAGTGCTGGGATTACAGGCGTGAGCCACCACACCCGGCCTCTTTTCCACTTTTCTATCTGTTGTCTTGCCTATACGAGATAGTTCCTACCAGGTATGTAGTTTAGAATATTCACTTCATCTATCTCTCTACACTAAGGAGGTGGGGTTGACTGGGGAACTTTCTTTCTTTTTTTTTTTGAGATGAGTCTCACTCTGTCACCCAGGCTGCAGTGCAATGGCGTGGTCTCAGGTCACTACAACCTCTGCCTCCCAGGTTCAAGCAATTTTCCTGCCTCAGTCTCCCAAGTAGCTGGTACTACAGGCATGTGCCACCATGCCTGGCTTGTATTTTTAGTAGAGACAGGGTTTCACCATGTTGGCCAAACTGGTCTCAAACTCCCGACCTCAGGTGATCCACCTGCCTCGGCCTCCCAAAGTGCTGGATTGCAGGTATGAGCCACTGTGCCCGGCCTTTTGTTTTTTTTGAGACAGAGTTTAGCTCTCGTTGGCCAGGCTGGAGTACAATGGCACGATCTTGGCTCACTACAACCTCTGCCTCCCGGGTTCAAGCAATTCTCTTACCTCAGCCTCCTGAGTAGCTGGGATTACAGGTATGTGCCACTACGCCCAGCTAATTTTGTATTTTTAGTAGAGACATGGTTTCTCCATGTTGGTCAGGCTGGTCTCGAACTCCTGACCTCAGGTGATCCACTCACCTTGGCCTCCCAAAGTGCTGGGATTATAGGCGTGAGCTACCATGCCTGGCTAACTGGGGAACTTTCTAAAACATTTGCAAGGCCAGTTTTAGACAGTGAAACTTAATAACTTATTTAGAAGATCTCCAGCCAATCAGCAGAGAGAAATACACCTGTTCTCTGGAGACCACCCTTGAGATCTTGGAATTTACAGTGTTTTTCAGATGGAAAATCTCAGGATTAAAACAATAAAGCTATGTGGGGTGAGAGCAGGGGAAGACAGAATTATCAATGCCTAGATCAGCCCATTCACCCAGGAGAAAGTAGTTACAATTGATGCATGGAAAGTGGAAAAAAAAAAAGTTATTGTGGGGCTATAGGCAGGGGATATAAGAGCAGCAGGGGTGGCTTCTATCCCATTTCAGAAATTGCAAGAAGGGAAGAGGCTTGAAGAAATTATTGCTTCCTCCTTGTCAGGAAGCCAAGTTTGAATCCTGCAAAAGATGCTCAGACATCAACAGACTATTGTCATTTTTACACATGAAACCATCAGATTCCCCACCATGGCCTTACACTTTGAATGGGAGAGATATAACAGGGTGAGTTTCTTTTACAAAGACCCTTCCAGAGAGCATCTATTCCTATAATGGCAGTGTGTGGAAGCTAGATTAAGTGAATGCTGGGTATGTTGGCATATTGATATTGTCTAACTCCTTCCTTCTGAAGGGAGGGAAAAACTGAACATAAGAGACCTGAGACCTTCAGCATAAGAGACCTTATGCTGAAGCTTGCCCATTTGACAGAGGATAGCAGGGTGGGCTTTAGGGTCAACCCAGAGCTAAAGGACTATGCTAATGGCCTCCCATGGTCTAGGTCATTTGACTCCTCTCCTCTCAGAGGACCCCACACAGATCCCTTTGCCTATCTGTCCTGAAGCTGAGGATCTAGGGCTGCCCATCAGTAGTGAGCCTTTGGAAGGGAAGAGATGCTGGCCAACAAGAACTGCTGCCCTCCCAACACCTTCCAATATGGGAAGCTTCTTCTCCCAAGGGAAGGACAGACCACTATCAGAGTACCTGAGTCTGGATACGGTTCAGGCCCCGGAACCAGAGGATCTGGCCTCGGCGCAGCTCCATCTCAGCATGGTCAATCTCATCCAGCCCCTCAGCATCCTTGGTGATCTCCTCTTTGGTGGTGCCATGCCCAGCCTCCTTCAGGAACTTCAGGGATCGGGTAGGTATTGCGGAGATGAACTGAAAACAAGTGCAGTGAAGAGGGAGACATCAGAATTAGCGTGAGAAGAGCTGTCAGTCAACTTACATGAGCCAGCCCTTGGGCAGGTTAGTCTTTGTCCTACCACGCTTCCCACTGGAAGAGCAGTGGACAGAAGTACCAATCCATCCAGGCAAGCATTCTCCAAGTGCCCACCAGTGGTCAGGCTCTTAGGAAGGCTTTCTGTATTTATGAACATACACAAAAGAGAGCTTATATTCTAGTAATCAACCAGCCATCTGCCTGGTCATATACTTCATTTTTCTCTTTCTGTCTCATTTCTTCTGTTCCATTTTGCAATCTGTTTTTAAGGTTAACGTAACTATACTGCATGGTATGCAGTAGGAAGGGACAGAGACCAGGACCTGGGGGAAAACAGTCTGGGGAGAAGATGGTGATATCGTATATGTATGGGAAGGGGCTGAGAAGGGTATTGGAAATGAATGACCCCTTTCTTAGTTGCCACATGCAAAGTAGTTTCTGTGTTACAAACTCTCGTGAAAGGATATCGAAAGTTTTCTTGGGCTTGAGATGAGGAAGTGGATGGGATAGTCCATGGAAGAAGGGACACATGAGTATTATCAGAAGACAAGGAGCAGTACATTGGGCTTGAAATTCAAAATAAAATTTCCTGGTGAGCTCAGCACCTGTCAGTCATTTCTTTCCAGACAAGATGAGGAGTAGCCAGGGCTCACGTGGGGAAGAGGGACTGTATGGGCAATCTGATATGGAGTCAAGTGTTTTGAAATGGGAAGAATGCCAGAGCTCTGCTTCTGAATGTGGAAAGAGCTGCTGCGATACAGAAGGAAGGCTGCTGTCTGGCATAAGGCCCCATGGCCACATGTGAGGCAAGAGCCAGAACAGAGTTTCAAACAACAGGTGAAACAACCAAGCTTTACCAAAGCATAAAACTGCTTTAGGAACTCACTGATTTAAAAAATATATATATTCACCAAAAAGAACAGGGTGGAGGGAATTGGGTCAGACATTAATTAGGGAGGGCTGGGTGCAGCGGTTCATGCCTGTAATCCCAGCATTTTGGGAGGCTGAGGCAGGAGGATTCCTTGAGCCCAGGAGTTCGAGATCACCCTGGGCAACACAGTGAGACCCCCATCTCTTTATTTTTTGTTTTTTGAGATAGAGTCTCACTCTTGTCACCCAGGCTGGGGTGGAGTGTCATGATTTCGGCTCATTGCACTCTGCCTCCTGAGTTCAAGCAATTCTGCCTCAGCCTTCCAAGTAGCTGGGATTACAGGCACGTGCCACCATACTTGGCTAATTTTTTTTGTATTTTTAGTAGAGACGGGGTTTCACCATATTGGCCAGGCTGGTCTCAAACTCCTGACCTCAGGTGATCTGCTCGCCTTGACCTCCAAAAGTGTTGGGATTACAGGCGTGAGTCATTGTGCATGGCCTGAGACCTCTATCTCTTAAAAAAAAAAAAAAGAAAAGAAAAGAAAAAGAAATTAATCAGGGAGGCATCTAGGTGTAAAATAAATAACTAGCAGGTTTAGGGGGGAAGGCCTGAAGCTCCAGAAAGAGCTCTTCGAGGCCAGTTAGGGCAAAGTGTCTATTACCTGGGTGGCTGGGCACTAAGGGATTGTTTGCAGAGACCTGGGGTCTGTAAAGAGAGGCACAGCCCAGGCCAGAGCGGAGGATGAGGGAGGTCTGTAAAGTGGTATTAAGGAAGAAGCGCAACTATTAGACTTGATGATACTATTATAATCTTAATAGCTTAAAATTTGAATGAGTATTTATAAGGTATTAGACATTATTCTAAGTCTTTTCTGTATAGTAACTGATTCACTAATTAACAATGACCTTGTTTTCCTAAGTTGAAGACACTGAGAGACAGATTGGTTATGTAACTTGCCCAAGATGATTCAGCTTATAAAAAGGAGAGCTGAGGCCAGGCACAATGGCTCAGGCCTGTAATCCCAGCACTTTGGGAGGCCACGGCGGGTGGATCGTCTGAGGTCAAGAGTCTGAGACCCGCCTGGCCAACATAGTGAAACCCTGTCTCTAATAAAATACAAAAAATTAGCTGGGCATGGTGGCAGATGCCTGTAATCCCAGCTACCTGGGAGGTTGAGGCAGGAGAATGGCGTGGACCTGGGAGGGGGAGGTTGCAGTGAGCCGATATCGCGCCATTGCACTTCAGCATGGGCAATAAGAACGAAACTCCATCTCAAAAAAAAAAAGGAGAACTGGGCTGGGCGCGGTGGTTCACGCCTGTAATCCCAGCACTTTGGGAGGCCAAGGCAGGCAGATCATGAGGTCAGGAGTTTGAGACTAGCCTGGCCAGCAAGGTGAAACTCTGTATCTACTAAAAATATAAAAATTAGCCAGGTGCAGTGGTGGATGCCTGTAATCCCAGCTACTTGGGAGGCTGAGGCAAGAGAATTGCTTGAACCCAGGAGGCAGAGTTTGCATTGAGCCAAGATCACACCACTGCACTCCAGCCTGGGTGACAGAGCAAGACTCTGTCTC